CCAAACGCTTCAAACTCATGTACCTAAATATAGACACCTAAATAAATGTCCTGGTTTTCAGGAGCACTGTGTGCCTCTCAGAGTTGTAGGTGCTCTGAAAAATCAAGATGCTTATTTAGGTATCTAAATACAGACTGAGCTTATGAATATATTCTTTAATTTGCTTCCAAATGTAAACAGCTAAGAAAACAAAGCTACCAGAAATCCTATTTTTATATGTGCTAATTAGAAGGCCACAGATTGTAATTCACTGCAAGACACAATTTACCCCTCTAAAGCAAATATTGTGGTAATTAATGTTTATTAATTGTTGAGAAGTAGAATTTAGAAGCCCTAGTTCTGAAGCAGTGCTAGACAGGTTTGGTGGAGAAGTCCACTGTATGAGATTTCTTTGCCTTTTATTAATCTCTATCCTTAACTATGGAGATTGACACAGGAAGGCTTTGCAAAATGTCATTTTAAGGAGCTTTGTTTATAGTGAGAGATCATTAAAAAAAAATTTAATGTTTCAGTCTCCTTAAGTGTGATCCATAATCTTCAGGCTCCTTGTGTTTTTCTTTCTTCTCTGAAATTTTCATTCATTATTCTGACAATTTTAAGTGACTACTGAAGGCATAATTGGAGTATCACGGGAAGCAGAAGGGTGTGTTTCTAGTCAGCAATCACACATACACATCCAGTTAATAGAAAATAAGCAGCTCAAGCAGGTAAGTAACAATTGAGAATCTATTTTTAAGTTTGAATTGTGCCTAGAAGTGAAAACTTAATTTTTCAACACTTCTACTAAGACATAGTTTGCTTACACACTTTATGCATGCTTCTATTTATATCATTACTTTTATGTATTTTAGCACTGATTTTCTGGAGATCTCATCAGTGACTGACAGTGGATGATGCCAGTGCCCCTGTCCTGCCAGCCCTTGTGCAAGGGGAACACTGGGGATGGCAAAATGGAAACAGTCTTGGCGACACAGATATTTTGGGCAGTCACAGCTTCCACAGCACTGAGTCACTGCAGCAGAGCAACCTCTAAGGAGTGTCCTCCTTCCACATCAGCCAGAGGGAAGGCTCTCCCCTTCCTCCTGCTCTCCCAGCAGCGTGACACAGCTCTGGAAAGGATAGCCAATCCATTCAGGAGTTATCTCCTACAGAGGCACTGATCTGCCAGGCTTACCCTTGCGGTGTTGCACTCCAACTTTAAGCTTTTCAGGTATTTGGCAGCCTGGATGTCTTAAAAACCTGAAGGAAAATGTAAGCTTGAGTTTACAGCTGAGCTGGGAAGGGGGAAAAAGAGCACTATGGAAGTTCCTAGGGAAGATGGAAACAGCAAATGGAAGATAAAAAGGAAAGGTGAAGCAGGGCCTGTAGTCTGATTGTGCCCTTTGCTCCAGGGCCACCTTGGGGAGCAGCCTGCTGTGCCATGAATGTCCTGTTCAGCCAGCCCACCAAGACATCCAGTGGTATGGCACCTTCCCAGGCTGTGACATCCAGTGGCATGGCACACTTACAGGCTGTGACATGCAGTGGTATGGCACCTTCCCAGGCTGTGAGAGCTCAGAACCCAGCAGGCAGGACAGCCCCAGCTTCCAGCTCCTTTGCCCAGCTTCCACTTTTGACCCCTGTACAAAGATGCCAATGCTGAACAACATTTATCCCTCTGGAGGGATAAATGTTCCTTCCCCGTTGCAGGTGTGGCAGCTCAGGGCAGATGTGATTGCAACAAATCACCTGGATTTGTCCTGGCTTGTGGATATGTAGAGAACTCATTTCCTACAGACCCACACGCCTGAAAGTACAAACTGTGCATGTGCACAAAACCTCTGAACCAGGCTGCAAGGCCAGAGTCTGCTGGAAAAATATAACTGGATATATTGATTAATACCCAAAGGACAGAATAAACCCATCTCCTGCTGATTCAGGCCTCTTTATTATTTGAAAGAACAATTTGATCATTGTGATGAAACTGGCTTTTAACAAAGTGGTGCTTGATTTCACTTCATGGTAAGCAAAGACCCATTGCCAAGTTTTCACATAGTAAAACATTCCTTGGTTTATTTTCTCAGAAAAAGGAACTTCAAACCTCAGCTTTAATGCCTGAAAACGCCCTAGTAATTATCGGTTTTTATCTGCGTATTATTCCAGTTCCATAAACAAGCTTAAAATAGTAAATTATAATATTAAGATTTGGGCAGAAGAGCATCAAAGGCAGTATCTTCAGCTCTAGTGAATTACTTAAACAGCAGAACTCTTTGAGTGTCTTGTACTGCTTATCCATTTTAACCTGTGAATCACATTCAAGGGCCATGTCATGATACTGGAAATAATTTGATTTTCTTCTGGTGTCAAGCAAACAAGGGCACACTTAATGGTTTTCTGAGCATTGATGGTCTTCAGAATAAAGGTCAGATAAAAGTGCAGCTAGAAATGTTAGAGTACAGCTGTAGTTCCTACTCACAGGCAGCTGCTACTCAGCCTTCTAGATAATGCTCCTCCATACAGGTTGGTTTTATGAAAGGAAGTTGTCTTTTCACTCAACAAGAAATTTGTCCATAGTCTTTAAATGCCAAGCTTTGCATTAAAAACAAAGTATTTCTGAAGACTGTGGGGTACAGCTGTTTCATCATCCTCTTTAAAACTGTGAATTAAGAGATTTAAAATATTTCTCCTGAGTGTTTTGACTGTAACTCTACAAGTAGTGTACTTTACCAGTAGCACACATCAGGAAAACATGTAGCTCATCCAAAGCCTTCCAGACAGCCATTGCTATCAATAACCAGGCAGGAGTGCTCTGATGAGTGGGAGCAACACTTGCACCTTTTAAGCCATACAGACTTTGCAGCAGTGGGTAATTGTCATTATTACCCCAGTGTGAGGAAACAGGGATGAAGTGATTCACCCAAAGAGCACAGTGAGTCAATAGGAGAGCTGGGAATAGAGTGCAGAATTCCCTGCATTATCCATTGGAGACCTCAGATAATATAATTTTATAAATGCTCTATCTTTGTAAAGACTTCAGTGCTATAATTATCCTCCCAGGACTCTCATGGAAACAAGATATTTATAACTCCATTAAGCCTTTCCTGGTAATTTTATGATCAAAGTGAAAAACCCAAATAATGCTGTGCCAATCAGTCGCATGTCCATTGTCATCCAGAATGGCCACATGATGAAAGCCTCTCCTTGGCTGTTGCAATTAAGTGCTTGCTATCTTTTGAATGCCTTTCCTGTGTCCAATTCCCCTTCTACCACATGGTGGACAGGGAGTATTTTTTGCAGTGTGATGAGCCACACAATTAGAATGTACCAAATAACTGGGAAAGATGCTTGTTGCCAACAAAGCCTACTGGTTTGGGCTATAAATGCTTCCTAAAATCCTTTCATGTGTGCCAGGTTCACCTAAAATGAGCAAAGCCCCCTCAGTATTTCCACTAACCTTTGTATGTCCTTTAAATTGTAATGCAGATGCCAAGACTAACTGTAAACAACAGGTTAGGGGCTGAGGCTTTTGGACCCTGGTTCAGCAAAGCACTTTAGCCTGTGCTTAAATCAAAATCCATTCTTATTCCCCAGATCCATTTTAAGAGTTTGTTTAAGGCAAAACACATGCTTAAGTCGAGTTTTGCTTGGCACAGTGCTTAAGCCCAGAACAGAGCAAGGGCCTTAAAATTAATTTCTTTTTGAGGGGAAGTCATTATTTTTAGCCCACCTCTCAATGGCCACAGCACTATCTTTTAGTCCCCAGACAGCTATTTTGAGGAGGTGTATATGCTAAGCCTAAACTTCTGGGTTCTGTGACAATCACTGGCACAGAAAAGACAAAGACCACTTGAAATACTTGACTTGAGAGGGGCCTTTGGGGAGGCTCATTAGAGGGAAGACATGAAAGAAGTCGTGATTATTCTGGGAGGTGGCTGCTGATACTGTGGGTGATCTTTTCACTGTGCTGACTGGAGAGATTCACGTACAGGAGGTCAACAATTTTAATTCAAAATGTTTTCAAAAGTTTTATATTTCCACAGGAAATTCATTATTTCAGGGAAAATGTTTATACTTTCTTCTAAAGTATAAAAAAAATATTTGGCTGGAATGTGTTAGTTTCCTTTTTTTTCCCCTGAAACACTTCTTTGATATATAATTATTAAAGGAAAATTAATGTAACAGAGTTTGATTTCTCATTCCTTGTAACACCAGATTTCCTGTCTCATTAAGACAACTCTTACTATTGTTTCACTGATTTCAATACTGGAATTTATCAGGTAGATCTGGTCTTTGCCACATCTGGTGAAGGAACAATTACATTTTATAAAATGTTTTTTGAGGGATGCTCCACTACTTTCCCTTTAACATCCAGACTTCATACAGAAGGTAGAAATAAAAAAGGCTACTTGAAATACATTTTATTTCTCTCTGGGCTTAAAAATCTTCGGCTTCTTACAGTCTTGTGGTAATGGCATGGATAAAACCTTACTCTGACTCCTGCTACTGATATGTAGGACAGCTTTCTAACAGCAGGGAGAGTCAGGTAAGAGGACAGATCCCCCATGGAAATTTGGCACTGCTGTATTTAAAAGCAGATTGGACAAGCACTTGAAGAGGAATAATTTAGATACTCTTAATCCACTCCTGCCTAGGGTATTGTGATGACCTTTTAATGCCCGTTTAACCCTGTCTCATGGGACAGATTTCCCTCCCCCGGAAGATTCTGGATTATTTCCAGGCAGAAGACCCCTTTTAGCTCTATCACTTGACCACCACATTGCTTTACTAATCCACCTCCCTTTTTTTTTTCCACCTTGGAAAGTACAGCGAGTGCCTGGAGCTCTCATCCACAACAGGGCAGTGATGGGACCCCAGAATCAGCTTCTTCAAACAACTTTTACTAGCTATTCTTTACAGGATTAAATACTCTTATATTTGTGCAATTTGTTCTATAACTCATGTAGTAGGGAAAGCAAAAGTGTTCTAGATATTAGACAACCAGTCTTAGGAGCAGGAACAGCTTTCCTTGCAGTCACTATTTATTGGAAGCCAAACATCATGGTCAAACTTCTATTGCAAATTCATGCAAGGACCAATTCTGAATCCTGTGAAGCAAAATAAAGCTCAGTAGAAATTTTAGGTGCTCCAGTGGAACAAGATCCCAAACACTTGCAATTTTTCCATTACAAAGTCATTTTATTTGCAAGAAGTTGGCACTGGTTGTAGGCAGAGCAGGCCAGACTTTCACTTGCCCACACAGGCAGTGACACACAAGTCACCACGGTTTATCAGGATGTAGAGCTGATCCAGAGGTCTCTGCTCAGACTGTCCTGGATTTTGTGCACACCAGCATCAGGGAGCTGTTTGTTGTTACCAATGTGATTTCTTAGCATAAGGCACCATTTTGGCCTTGGTTTAAAGCACCCTGCAGGAAGCAGTGACTTGGCCCAAGGGACCTGCTTCTCCACTGGTTCTGGCACAGCTTCCACACAGGATTTCCAGACACTGCAGCTTTTTGTCCTGAATGTTTGGTTGGCGAGTTTAGTATATCAGATTTGCAAAGTCTGTGAATAACTGACCCACAAATTATGAATGCAAGAGGGGAGCTTGGATTGAAGCACTGGGAGGTGGGCAGCCAGGGGGGAGCACAGGTACAACTGCACTGGCTTGGCACAGCACAGTGTACAGCATTGAAAGCTGAAATCAAGAACTCTGCAGGCAGAGAACCTGTCTGAAGATGTGGGCTTGGGAAGCAGCTCAGTGGTTCATCCATCCAGCGTGGGCTGGCAAAGAAAGGTCAGTGCTGCACAACTTTCATTCCCGGCATTTGTACCGCACACGTAATGGTGCCATGGGTTGCTGCGTCCCCACCAAATGTAAAGGGCTCTGAAGAAAAAAGAAAATCAGAAAAAAACACTTCAATTACCATTGTACATTAACATTAAGATATAAACATTCTTGCATCTTCAGTCTTATAGAGAAGCAAGACCAAATACCAAAGTCATTGAGTAGTGCCATGGTTAATAATTATTCCAGTCACTCTGTCAGGGTGACACATAAGCTCTTAAGAAAATCTCGCAGTTTTGAATCATTTCAAAATACTGAAATAATGAAGTAGAGACTGTGCCATTCTCCCTTAAGTGTAAAACCTTCCTGTGTCACAGCTGCTCATTCAGTCTTACCCTAATCATTTACCTTCCACCCCTGAATATGTAGTGGAAGAGCACTACGGGTGTCACATGGGATTCCATATCTTGAAAGTATTAATGATCCTGTTCCATATTTGCTGCTTTTGTGAGCAACAAGTATCAAATCTCTAGTAATGTTTAGGCAATGATGAGACAAAACATTCTTGTAAGCACTTTGTTGTATGGGCAGTGCAGCCCCCACTAACTGGAATTGCTGAAATTACTCTGAATTTTCTGAATTAAAACAAAGATTAAGTTGTTACATGTTTTATAATACTCCTCTCAAACTTTATGTAGCCACAGTTGAGCATGGTTGTTCAGCTGAGCCTGATGAATGAATGGTATATGGAGAATGCTACACAAATGCATGGATCTCTTACCTCCTTTGGCACTGCATCCAACAGCACAAATTCATACTTGTGCAGGAACAGCACAACGAACAGCTGGATCTCCATGATTGCAAACCACCTGAAGAAAAAGGAGGAAAACACTGGCCCTCCAGACTGACCATCATGTCTGTGTGTTAGCATCAGGTAAGAAACAGGGTATCTTTGACACATTTTTGCACTCTGTGCTTTAGTTGTGCCTGAAAGTTTATCTTCCATAGGAAAACTGCTGTAGTTTGTTCAGGTTTGTTACTCGACAAAGAATATGAATGTGGCAGCTGCCCCTTCGTTCTAGTGAACCACTGGACTGACAGTATCCCTCTGACACCTATTTTAAACCAGCTCCTTATCATTATGGATTTTTCCACTGTATAAACATTTATGTTCTCCTAACACTTGCTGACTTGAAATAACTTCCTAGGAGTGAGAAGGCAGTCAAACACAGAAAAGGCCATATGACTAATCGTGCTATATAAAGTTATATAATGCAGCTGGGAGCCTGGTGACATCAGAGAGCAGTGACAGTGGGAGTTATTATTTAATGCGTCAGCATTAGGATGCAGTAAGAGACCCAAGGGCATGATTTCTTTTTTCTGTAATGCTCTCCCAAAGGTGTTTCTTAGGCTGGAGAAGATTTTGGATAACTGCAGGTGAAATCCTTCAGGCTATTGGTTTTTAATGCTGATGTGCACAAGAGCTTTCTGCATTCACCAGTGTGCACCTATGCAAGGTCATGGGATTACTCACTTGCAGAGTTTAGACACAGGTCTTAAACACCCAGTTAAAATAATAATACCACCTTGCTCTTCTATAGAGAAATGCTGGGAAACCTGGATAAAACAGCTATGGGGGAATTTACAAGGGAAGAGGCTGCATGACTGCACACGGAGTTGGCCTTGCAGGTGTGAAGGGAAGCTAAAAAGCCTCACAGACCCCAGGTAACTCCTGCAGAGCTACCAGGCTCTGCACATGAAGCTGCCACAGGCTCTGGAACGGGAAGATCCTTGTTTGTTTGAGCACAAAGAAGATCCTTGTTGTTCAGCCTCAGACCCAAATTATCCCTGTGATTTCACAACGGAATTGCCTGGAGCTTGTGGAGGCCTTGGCTCAGGGGAATGCAGTGCAGAGATATTTTGATAACTATTAGCCCAGCTCAGGTGGGATGTAGCCCAAGCTCCAAGCCTGCAGCACCATGCAAGGGTGGGTCCTTCCAGTCCCAGCTCTGTTTGCACAGCAGGGCCCTGGACCCCAATGCTTGAGGGAACAACACACCCATGCAAGACAAGCACAGTCACACAGGCAATAACCACCTGCTTCAACCAAAGTAGTCAAACTGACATCGAATTTTTCTTTTAGGTGAAAAATATGGCACAGAAATGGCTTTTTGGGAGCTCTTCCCACATCCGTTTATTAGAATATTGAACAGGTAAGTTATTTACTTAGCTTTCAGTTTGATTAAATTAGGTTTTAATTTTATGCTGAACTTTTGCAATGTAGAAATTAAAGGTTTCGTATATTTAATTTATAAACCTCAGTACTGAAATAAATAAAAATGCATCTTAAACTTGAAATATTGTTTCATTCAGTCATATGAAGGAAATCTGCAACCTGCAATCCTTGATACAACCCTTGATTTAATTTTCTTTTTTTTCAAGACCTTCACATTACTCTTTTACAATTATTGCTGAAAAATCTGAAGGTGTGTGTTACCATGTGGACTGCCAAGGGGTCTGAAAGGGCTTTTATGTTTCTCAGCAAGAAAAAGATTCTCCATCTGTTGTCTGTGTAGAAATGTTATACTTTTCTTTCTAAACAAAAACTTATTTGAAAGATGTTATCAGAGTCCAGAGAACAGCCTGAACAAAGATACAGGTCAGGATATATAAACAACCAGCTTTCAGAAACATTGTTTTGTAGTTTTCCCTGTACCTGCAGATGCCTCTTGTGAATTTTTCTGTGGCCCTTGCTAGGAATGAGGCTGTGCTCAGATTTAGCTCAGGAATGTGGTACAAGCCACCAAGGTACAGCAGTGAATGAGCACTTCCCTCTGGCAAGCCTAAACAGTGAAAGCAGTTTTATTCATTTTGCTCATGTCTTTAATGCCTTCACAAAGTTAATCTGGCACTCATGTCTAGCCTGCCATAGGGTGCAGGTTCTAGAATGCAGATCCTCTGCAACACCCTCCAGATTCCTTGCTGCACATGGAACTCAAGGGAAAATGAGTTAAGGACTTGGTCTTAAGGATTCTAGGGTGACTTTTGTCTCAGAGAAGCCCAGGTTTTGAAGGCAGAGGGTTGAGCAGAGAGATGTTTGAACACAGGAACAAGGAGCAGCTGGCTCCTGGGATTTGTTCCAGGAAGAGGGACAGCAGAGAAAACAGCAGAAGGAATGCAGGAAGTACCAAGGCTGGCATTGCTGGAGGAGTGAAGTGAGACAGGATCTGCAATTTAAGCCATTATACACTGTGTGCCCTAATGCAAAAACCAGATTCAAACAGAGAGGAACCAGTTAAGATACCCGAAAATCAGCAGAGATGTCAGTGGCATCACAGACGATGGAAATAGAGTCTCAGACCTGAGAAATGTTCTGTAGGTTTGTTTAGAACTGGTTTAAGGCAACCTAAATAACTGTGTCTGTAAAATGGTGTGTTTGGAAGTGGAGCAACTCTCCCTTGATGAAAAGAAACTTCAGCAGGGGCAGAGCCAGGCTGAACGTCCTCCTCCCTGCGTGGGGGGCAATATCCCTTGATATGCTCGTCTCAGATTCTGCCTGTTCAATGTAAATTCACCTGTCATTTCCAGGAATGAAACCACTTTCAGATGAGTTTAAACAAGGTGCAGATGATGCTAAACATTAGGAGACTGACAAAGAGTGAAGCAAACACTTTATCTCCAAGAGTAAGAGAAGCTCAGTTCAAGAGAGTTGTTCTCTGCAGGGTTTGGGAAAAAATAAACCCCAGCTGTTTCACTGACCTTCCTGGACACTGATGCTTCCCTCCTCCGAATGCCACAAAGCTGTCCAAGAAAGCATTCTTCTCTAAATTTGCCTCTTTCCAACGATCCTGTGGGAAGAAACTTTTTTTTTTCCAAATCAGCCTTATATAAATAAAGCTTAACTTTATTTCTCCAAGCTAAAAATGACCTTGGACAGCTAATCCTCAATACAAAGTCACACTAATACCATTTTTTTGCATTCAACCTGTTAGTATTAGAGTCTCGATCCAAAAGTCTACACTGAATCAGGGAAAGAAATGAGGGTCCGATTTGAAACACATTTAAGTGCCTAAAAATTCTGGAGTTTTCAAAATTACCCCTAAAGCAGTTTTCATATACCTCCTTACTTCCTAAATCCTGCATCTTGAGCTATTAAAATGCAACTTTCTCTTTTTAAATCTATCTATAAATGCAAATATTCAACCAGTACTGAGGGAAGCGTCAGCCACAAAATTGTGTTATTACACACAAGTAACTCACACGCATCTTGCACAAAAGAAACATTTCTAAGACACTCTGCACAGACAAATGCAAGGTCTATGAGCTTTAAGTGGTGTAAGCCAGTGTGTGTGAATGATTCTCCACAAAAAACAGCTTGTCTGTACCCAAAGGGATTCCTGCTCCATCCTAAATTGCTTTCAGAGGAAAGGGACAACACAAGGAACAAGGCAATATGGGCTGAGGTTTTGATGGGTGACACAGAAGCAAATCTCATGATTGCTGGGTGACAAACTGTACCAGCCTCCACAAACTCAGTGCTACTCTGCCAAGTAACACCCTGTCAAGCTTCTGGTGGTGAAGTCTGAAGAAGCTGTCCTAGAGAAGACATAATCTTGCATTTATCTATCCTAAGGTTTTTTTTTCAGCTAGGGTTGTTTCGAGCTTTCTGAGGAAGAAACCTGTCAGCATCAAAATCCAATAAAGAAAGAAAAAAAGTCTCAGTGGTGATGAAGCAAGGTCATACATTTGGAATGACAATGTCCAAGGGGTACTCATCTATTTCCCTTGAAAAAAGGGAGAGTTTCTAAAAAACAGCTAACTTGCTCTTTAGAAATAAAGTTACTAAAAAAATAAGCTGCTGCATCAGAGTTTCGGCTTCAGATTTCAAAGAAGCAGGAATTGTTAAAAGGGATTTCAAATCGGGAAGAGTTTGCTAGAAGGGAAGTTTTGTTTAAATTACTCCTTGATGTATTTCTATAAAAAAGACAAACTGTTCTATATTGGATGGTGCTAAAAAGAGCAGTTACAAGCCTGCCCACACAGCCACCTGCAGTGGAATAATAATCAAGAAACTAGATTAACTACTGAATTAGCAGAGATAATACCTACGAGAAATCATCCAACAGGGAAAGAAGAATACTTGGAATCACAGAATTGGTTAGGTTGGAAAAGATGTTTAAGATCATCAAGTCCAACATTAACCCAGCACAGCCAATCCACCACTAAGCCACCCCCCCAGGTGCCACACCTACACATCTAAATTCCTCCAGGGATGGTGACCCCACCGTTTTCCTGGGCAGCCTCTTCCAGTGCCTGACTTTGGTCAGAAGCTCCTTCAGTGAAGAAATTTTCCCTAATATCCAATCTAAACCTCCCCTGGCACAATTTGAGGCTGGTTCCTCTCATCCTATCAGTTGTTACTTGAGAGAAAAGACTGACTCCCACCTGGCTGCAATCTCCTTTCAGGGAATTGCAGAGAGTGATAAGGTCAGGATCAAAGTGATATTAAATAGTACCATATTACCTGGAACATGTCACTGAATTTAAAAGTATTTTGTATTCCTACAGGCTCCTCCTTTATGTGCACATCTCTGTATTCAAGGCCATTCTCCAGCCAGATTTAAGCACGTTTGTCCATCTGCTTTTATTGTAAAATAAGTGAAGGGGAGAAAAGACAGCAAAATATCCACACTAAGAGTGACAACTTACAGGTTTGAACATTTCTGGGTCAGGAAAATATTTTGGATTCCGGTGCAACCAATATGGTGACAACATCAGCATGTCACCTGTAGGGATGATGAAATTCTGAAAAGGAGAAAAATCTCTAAGAAAAGAGCTAAAAATCTCACAAAATAGTCCCTCCTCGGTACTTCTCTTCCATCAGCAGAAGATGGTAAGAAAAGACAAGTGAAGATGATAAAGTCATGGTGGCTATATTACATGTTTGAAGTTTCTTCTTGCTGTTGCTATTTTTTCCATAAAACCTAAACAGTGGGGAAGGTGGAAAAATATTTGTATTCTAGTTTGGGGTTTTTTAGGTATCAAAAGATCAGAAGCATTATTTGTCTTTCTTGCTTCTTGATTTACCCAGTGAGCTGTTTTCTTTTTTCTAAATATTTCATTAAACACTTCCTTCAGTGCAAAGAAATTCAAATAAAGCCTTCTGTGAAAGTAGGTATTAGTCATTTGATCAGTGATCTTAAACAGTCATGAGCACTGATTCCTTAAGAGTGTGGGTTTTTTCCCAAACATTTCTTTGCCAGATTCCTGAATGCTGACACCTCCCTTCTGAATGGTAGTGATGAGGACAAAAAGGAGTGTTATCAGTTACTAAAATGTGGTTCCTTCTACTATACTTGTTGTGTCTGGTTCCTCTTTTATATGCCATCAGTATCTATTCAATTCAATTAAATTTTAAATCAATTCAAAATTGAAGGCAAGACTGTGACCTGGAGAATCCAAACCACTCGTAAATTACTGGTGATGAATAAATCTATTAAAAAGAATATCTATGTGAGGCTGGGGAATATCTCTACCACTGTAATTTTACCCAGATCTATCAAGAGGACCCTTTCCAGATAAATCACACAGCATCCTTTGGGGGAAAAAATCCCCACATCAAACCTCACCTTAATTCTAATTGGGTTTATGACTTTCTTGGTGATTGCACCTGGAGACCTCAACCGTATGGCTTCCAAAGTGCACCATTTAATGAAAGGGATCTTCTTCAGATCCTCCTCAGAGACTTCCAGTTTATCTTTACCTATTATGGCATGAGAAAGAAGATTCCACGTAAAAATTACATTTCATACTTGTTTTGATATAGGCTGGCATATCTTGCTTTAGGACTGTGGGCGAAATACTTCAAGACTTCACAGCATTGTTTACACACAAAAATTGTCTTTATATTTCAAAGTAAATAAGTGGGCCATAAATCAGTAAAATTTAAGAAAAGCCACAGAACATAATTCAATAACTCTAAGGTAGGTGTATATATAGCGTTAGATAGAAGGGGCCAAACAAAGCCATGTTGGGAGTTAAGTCTTCAGAGCTTTTCTGTGCTTTCAAAGGACACTGCATGGAAATCTGAGGGACTGTAGGCACCAAGACAAGAAGCCATGGCTGAGCTCTTTGGCTCTGTTAACATTAGCAAATGAAACAAGGGCAAGAAAAAGGCTTCATGGATTTTCCTTATTGGTTAATTACTGACATGTTTCTTGATACAGTTTTGACCCATGTCAGCAAACAGCCTTCTGTGGAAGTTTAACTCAGATCCAAGGGACTGCATATGGGAACGACTGCTCCCAATAGGTGACTGCTTTTTGAGGGAGAGAGGTTACTCATGGGAGGTGAACCATGCTGGAAAAATTTGCCTCTGATGACAGAGAAGACAACAGTTCCTGGCCTGTTTTTCCCATGAATAGCTGTAACTCTGGTGAACAGCACACCATGAAAAGCACCTGAACTGAATGATCTCATCTGACCCTATCGTAGGTGCCTGGAAAAAACACAAGACTGGGAAATACAATACTAAGTTTAAATGATAAGAATGAAGAAACAAACACATACTGTTCTTTTCCTAGCTTCTTTCTGCTAACATCAGAGGTGTTTTTGCTTAAAAATACGTCTTGAGCATATACTAGGTAAAGACCTGAGAGCTGGACTCTATGCTATCAGCAGCACCCTTAGCAGGAATACTCACTGCTCCAGCTACTGACCAAGTGGCTGCTGGGCCAACAGGATAAATCACTTCCAGCTTCCAGAAGGACAAAATCAGATTTATTACCTGCTTTGCCAAAAACAGAAGCCAGGTCTTCTATTACTTTCTTGTAAATGGCAGGATTAGAGAGTATAAAAGCAAGGGTCCAAAATGCAACCTAAACAGAGACAGAAATCCTTGAATTAGGGACATGGAACAGAATGACAGTATCTTTTCAGCAAATCACAGGGGCAGGTGAAAACATTTGCACTTTTTTGTATGTGCCTGTTGTAGTTCAGATGCATGGGGAGCTTCACTTCCCGGGTAAATCCGTATCTAAAAGCTGAGCTCCTGGGAGATTATGTCTAGTCATCTGCTGTGTACTTATCTTTAGTGAACGTTATATAGCTTTGGCCTTGAGCTTTGAAACACAGAATCCTTTATTTTCAAATAACTAGGTGTTAAATGAACTACTAAATCATCATGCATGATTAGTTTTAGCTGCAGGAAGGAAAAAAAGAAATAAATTCATACTACCATTTGCAGAAATGAGGTTAAGTAATTTACAGGGCATTGTCATAGTGAGTCACACTGAAATGGGCAGGAAAAGTTTTAATTAACAGCAAAACAAGGAGCAGTATATCCCCTTTAGAAATAATTTGCTAACTGATTATGCAATGAAGTTGAAAATCAAGAAATTTAGAAAAGGAGAAAATCCTCTTAAGCAGGATGAAACCAGGACTGGCAGCACTGCCAGGAGTCTCTCTCCTCTTGCTGAGCTAGCAGGAGGTGCAGCCTGCACACAGATCTGGTCGTGGGCCATCTGTGCTGGTGAGGGATGAAATTCTGACTGTTATTTCCCAAACAGACTGACATGGATGCAGCCCTCCTTCTGCAAAGCAAATCTTGTAGTTTAGCTTTCCTGTACAGCACTTGGACACTGTGGCTTCACTCCATGGGCTAAGAAGGGATAACTGAATTGTTTCAGATAAAAGGGTTTAAAGTGCTTGTAAAAAATGCCCTTGGAAGGTGAAAGGCCTTTTCTTTCGTCATTCCACTCCCCAGAACAGTGGTTGTGACTATTCTGAGAAACAGAAAAATATCTGTATGTCTATTTACAGCTGAATATTACAGAAGTAAGTGTTGTGGAAGGAATGTCAGTTATCCTGATAACAGACAGCAGGCTATGCCTCCCACTTATGCCAACACGTGAATCCACAGAAACCTCACTGAAATGGATGAATTTCCCTTAGGCTAAACTGCAGTAATATCCAATCTCCAAAAAACAGATATATCCATTAGGGGAACATATAAAAATAACTCACTATCATGTTTTTCAAAATCACATCTGTAGTGGACATAACTGTGCTGGAAAGAGCTTAGTAGTCATGGTAAATAAAGGATGTTTTTGCTGCTATGGATTTTTCATCTGAGAAATTCCTATAAAAGTCTTTGGTCAGCCTAAGCCGTGTTAGATATATTTGGCTTGTTAGCATACTTATATCAGTATCATTAATCCAGCAAATCTTTTTCTAACACAGACAAAAATTAACAGCTCTAGGATCAAATTATTGATTTTCTTCCACTGGCATTTTTACAGCAGATCCCCCAAAAATGAGACAAAATCACTCGAGAGTTTACACACAAATGAAGTTACTCTATATTATGCTTTTGATATTCTTTACAATTGGTAACACCAGGGTATCTGAAATAGTCTTTTCTATAATATAGCCACAGTTCTTCAAAACAGAGTTAAATGCTCTTCACAGCTTAAGACTGTGATCTTAATAGCTGTGAGGCTTATGTTGCTGAAATGTTATGACAGGGGACAACATAATTTAGGAAAAATACAAGAAGAGCTTTTCTTGTCATTGCTTCTGTGACACTGCAGCCTGGGTATATTTGTAGTGATGCATGTGGGCGTGATAATCCCTTCTTTGGAATCCATGGAGTGTGTGTGACCTCTGCTTCAAAGCCTTTCCTTCCCAAATCCAGGCTTTGGGACGGGATAGAGAGAAGGTGTTTCTGTAGCTGATGTACTTACGGGCACAGCATTTGCTTGGGCAGCCCAGAGCATCAGGAGACCATAATTGGGAGCGAGATGTTTTCCCTGCAAGTTATCCAGGAGATGGTGTAGAAGTGTCTGTTAAAAATAAAAGAAAATAATCTCTATTTCCAAGAATATATTAAAATGTAGTTTGGGGCAGGGCTCACTAGAACCCAAGGACTAGTTTTTCAAAGAGAAGTAATGTTAGTCATGGCTTTTTTGGAAGGCACAATGTAAAAATGACAGCTGTTAAGAGAAAGTGAGACACATAGGCAGAGGGCCAGGAGAACTCAGTGCACCACATGAATCTCTCCTGAATACCTTCACTGCTCTCCATTCCCTTAAAGTTTTAGACGATTGGGTTCCCTCACTTCCCATTGTTCCTTTTATGTGGAAGAAAGGAAAAAAAACAGGTCTATTCTAATCCCTGCTCTACACCTCTGCCTTAAAGAACCTGAAAATGGGAATGAGCCAGTTGAATGAATGGAAATAAAGAAAATGTTCTCACTGCTCATGCCAAAAAAGTGCTTGTTATAAAGAGATGGTCTGATACATCAGCAAACTCCCTAATTTCAGGCACTTTGTTGGTGACCTAAGCAGTGACTTCAGTGGGTTGATATTATTTGAAACAATAGCAACTGTGTAACATTCTAGGATCAGCTTTTGCTTATAGTATTTCCATAAATGCAAGGCAACCACGCACTTCAGGCAAAGCTTCCTGCCTCCTTTTCAGAAGTGCAAAGGCCGACGTTGAATAAAAATGGCTGATTTTTTTCCAAATTCCCAATCTAAGACACCAAGTTTGTGCTTCCTACTTCCTGCACCTTCTTACCTCCCACCAGCTCCACTCCAGCCTTCTCTTTCTTTCTGCTAATCTGGTTTGTTTTATTAAAGAAATTGCGGTATGTAAAGCTTTTGAAGTCTAAATAAAACCTGTTTTGTTTAAATGATCAGTTCTACAACCATTGGTAGATCAAAATTCCCAGGCCAGTCTGCCGTCACGTTTGGCAGCCCTATCAGCAGAATTCCTGCCAGAGCTAAGGAGAATAACCAGGGGAACAACTTATCTCAGCTTTGACACAATGAATATTTAGGGTACTTGGCTCCCAATCCAGTAATCTGCTATTTTCTACCAGTCTAGTTGTTGAAGGATCTGCTCACTCTACACCAGGGTTTATAAATAGCACATGTAAGATTTTGAAGTTTCACAGCACAGTGCCCTCAATGAAACAACTGAAGGGTCTTTCTCTCACCTCCTTCAACTGCTCACTGCAGTGTGGTACTGCAGGCTGGGGATGGGTCATAGCTCTGAACCCCTGCCTTAAAATTCCCCAGGGGAAGATGTTAATTGTCAGAATTGCTTGAAATAAACTAAAAGGAGGAACAGGAGTCAAAGTTATGGGTCTGCCCTACTGCAGGTGACAGAAATACTGGAACATTTGGGTATAGCTATAAAAGCTGACATATTTGATTTATTTCTTCCAGTGCTGAAGTAATTCCTGCCCTCCATTGCTTCGGTCATATATACAACAAAGCCATCTTATTTCCTAGCCTCGGATGTTTACCTTGGATGCAGTCTCTGAAGGGTTGGTCCTTTCAGCATCCAACACTACTTTCTCAAATAATTTTAGAAGCCATTTTTTGGATTTAGACCAGTTCCTGTAAAGAAAAGCAACAAACAAGAAGCACTTAACTGAGGCAGCAACATTTCCTTTTCCATGAGAAGCACTCCTTGGGTTGTTTTCCAAAAGTCCCTGGGCAGCAGTCAGCTGGTGAAGAGCCGAGTGTCAGTCTGACTGACAGAAATGATGACTGGCATGAGGAACAGTATGTCCAAGGCCTTCACCTTGACCAGACCTCCTCTTGCAGCCAGGACCTGGGACTGAAACACTCCTACATTTTTTTTGTTTCATTGTTGATTTGGACAGACCGCTTAGGCCAATCTTTTCAAGAATTATCCTCTTGAAGAAAACCAAGGCCATTTTTATAGAGCATCCTCAATTCTTTCTGAAGGTATTTTGAGGTGCTAAAGGTGCAGTGATGGCCCTGAGAGTACTGACAGTGTCTGGAATCACCTCCTCAGGGTTTAGGTGTCTCTACCCAAGGTCAACTCTGTGACAGTGTAGCCCTGTAACCTGGGATCGGTATTGGGAAAACAGCTGAGATGTGGAAAAGAGCAGAGACACACACCTCATTGGAGGCTCCCTGAGCTTGGGACTCACACTTAGGCTCAGGCCTTTGCCCTTTACCCCATTCTGCTGCTCCCTGACAGGTCCAAGCTGGGCTCTGCTCACCTAAGCCAGGTTGTTTCTGCTTTATACCAGGAAAATGCAAAAGACGAGGTCAGAACTTTTTTGAAGCATTTAGCTAAAAGCCTGCTTCACCTGAGGGCACACCATCAATAAAAATTGAGCATCATCCTCCAGGGGAAATGTCTCTTATGGTTGATAAATGTCTGTAGTGGGCACACCACAATCATCATCTCTGCCCCTTTACCTCAGGAAGCACTCAGGCATCTGAGAAGCATATTCAAAGTCCTCATCATACTTCTGAAAATGCTCTTCAAACTCCTTGATTTCACTCGGACTGGTTGGGCAGATGCCCCTCCCAAACAGGGTGTTCACCACCGCTGGATACATGACTTGCCTGCAAGGACAAGATGCCCAAGACTTAGGGGCCACAGGGAAGCTGTTGCAGCAGTTTTAGACAAGGATGCAGCACGCTGGATTGCCAGCCCTGGAAGCTGTGGGACTCAAAGGTCACACCAGTATGGAAGGGGTGGCACAAGGCTCACACCTCACCCACACACTTATTTCAGATTTTAAACATAGGCAGGAGATACACAGACCTCAGGATGGTCTTCTACACATGGCTGAACTTCACCAGTTAGGGTTTGTGTTGGGGAAGATGAAAATGGAAAACCTTATAAATATGATTGCCTGGCAAAAGATTTTGAGAAAATGGAAACTACAAGTGAGATTGAAATAAAAGCCATCTTTGAGATACAAAACCTTAATTACTGAACAACTAAAAAACAATAGTATGGCCAGCTGAAAATAATCCCCTCTTGATTGAAAAATCCCCTTTGCTTGCAGACAGGTCCAAGGGTCAGAGAAGACTCTACTAGCATGGCAGAGGGGGTCCAAAGAGTAGTTTTTAGGGTTTAAAGTGTAACACAGTATGGTAATGGAATGATTCTTATAGGATGTATGTAAATGCTATAGGATTTGTATCTTGTATTAGATTGGTTAGTGAAAATTAGAATATTCAACACAGAAGAAGATTTATTGTATTGTAACGGGAACCTCACTCTCTTACTTCTCTTACCTCTTACCTCCTATCTCTTATGCTCTTACACCTC